GAAAGGCCACCTGCACACTGAAGTGTGGTGTGTCCCAACTGACACTGAAGTGTGGGATGTACAGCCCCTGCACACGAAGTGTGGTGTTGTCGCCCCTGCACACTGAAGGTGGTGATGTAAGCACCTGACACTGAAGTGTGGTGTTTCAGCACCTGCACACTAAAAGGTGGAGTGTACAGCACCTGCACATGAAGTGTGGAGATGTACAGCCCCTGCACATAAAGTGTGGTGATGTACGCCCTGCAACTAAAGGTGGAGATGTACAGCCCCTGCACATGATGTGGGGGATGTTGCCTTCAGAGGGTCACGAAGGGACTTTGTGCGCACTTCGGCAAGACGCTAAAGAGTGGGTTGGTGACATTATTTTTTCAGGATCATCTTTTTAGTGGGGAAAAAAATAAATAAATAATAAGGCAGGGGGGTTGGGGGATAAAGAAGAAATGAAAAAAGCAGGTGGGGATTAGTTTTGGAGTGGTTGGGCAATTATTTAAAAAATTAGGGAAAAGGGGTAGGTCCCTAGGATTGGCAGAGAGATGCATTTTCCTTTGTTAAAGGAAAAGGGGAAAAAGAGAGTGAAAAAAATTTAGGGGGAAAAAGTTGTTGAGTGTACCTGGTAAAGTGTTTTGGTAGAGTTAAAATTTAAAAGAATTAAGAGTAGAGGAGAATAGGATAGAGATGAACAAGGAGGCTTTGGGAAAAGGGGGGGGTGTGTGGACCAGGTTTTTACAGGAAAATATGTGAACAGTATTTAGAAAAGGCTAAAGGGTCTTTGTGGCATTTATGGATTTGGAAAAAGGCGTATGAAGGGGGATGGGGGGCAATGTGCAGATGTTGCAAAGTTTTTGGGTGTAGGAGGTGGTTACTGAAAGAGTGAAGGTTTTTACGAGGTAGTGGGGCTAAAGTTAGGTATGTGGAAAGAGGAAAAATTTTTTTCCCCAGTAAGGGGCCTTAGACAAGGATGTGTGTTTCCCCGTGGTTGTTAAAATATTTAAGGGTGGGGTTGAAAAAGGAAGTAAATGCGGGGTTTTTTCTTGGCAAGAGGCGTGGAGTTAAAGATAAAAATCACAACAAAGTGGGAGTTGTCCAGCTGCTCTTTGCTGAGACATGTGTCTTGGGAGTTTCAAGAGGTTGAAAGGGGAATTGGTGGATAAATTTGGTGGGTGTGCAAAGAAGAAAATTAAAGGGGGAATACAGGAAAGGTGGTTATGAGGATAACAAAAAATTAGGTGATGAAAGATTGAAAATCAGTTGGAGGAGAGGTTTGGAGGAGGTGAAGTATTAGATATTTGGGGAGTGGGGCGTGTCAGCGGATGGGTCTTGAAAATGGGTGAAAATAGAATTGTGAGGGAAAAAAAGTGAGTGGGCTCTTAGGGTTGTGGGACAAAGAAAAATTTGTCCTTGGGGCAAAGAGGGAAGTATGAGAGTATAGTTTTACCAAAGCTTTAATGGGTGTGAAGGTGGGTGATGATGTTGCAGCGAGGGAAGGGGGAAGGGGGTGGAGTGTCATGTCTGGGGCAAGTGTGGTTTTAATATAAAGCAAGAATTCGTAGTTTGGAAGTTAGGAGGAGGTGCGGGATTACCAAAACTGTTGTCCAGAGGGCTGAGGAAGGGTTGTTGAGGTGGTTCGGACATGTAGAGAGAATGGAGCGAAACAGAATGACTTCAAGAGTGTATCAGTCTGTAGTGGAAGGAAGGCGGGGTAGGGGTCGGCCTAGGAAGGGTTGGAGGGAGGGGGTAAAGGAGGTTTTGTGTGCGAGGGGCTTGGACTTCCAGCAGGCATGCGTGAGCGTGTTTGATAGGAGTGAATGGAGACAAATGGTTTTTAATACTTGACGTGCTGTTGGAGTGTGAGCAAAGTAACATTTATGAAGGATTCAGGGAAACCGGCAGGCCGGACTTGAGTCCTGGAGATGGGAAGTACAGTGCCTGCACTCTGAAGGAGGGGTGTTATGTTGCAGTTTAAAAAACTGTAGTGTAAAGCACCCTTCTGGCAAGACAGTGATGGAGTGAATGATGGTGAAAGTTTTTTCTTTTTCGGGCCACCCTGCCTTGGTGGGAATCGGCCGGTGTGATAAAAATATATATATATATATATATATATATATAATATATAATTATATATATATATATATATATATATATATATATATATATATAATATATTTATATTATTAAAAACCACCATGTACACGCTGAAGACAAGTATTAGCAATAAATTTGGGCTTGTGACTATATTGTCAAATTATAATTAACTGCCCTTGTGTCTCTTACCAGCTATAACGAATTATGGTGACAGTTAAAAGTGTTTTATAATGGTGTTTGTAGTGTCACCTTCAATAATCTCTTGTGACACCACACTGACACCACACAGTGACACCACACAGCAGTGACCCACACAGTGACGCCACACAGCAGTGACCCACACAGTGACACCACACACAGCAGTGACCCACACAGTGACCCCACACAGCAGTGGCACTACACAGCAGTGACCCACACAGTGACGCCACACAGCAGTGACCCACACTGTGACCCCACACACAGCAGTGACCCACACAGTGACCCCACACAGCAGTGGCACCACACAGCAGTGACCCACACAGTGACGCCACACAGCAGTGACCCACACAGTGACCCCACACACAGCAGTGACCCACACAGTGACCCCACACAGCAGTGGCACCACACAGCAGTGACCCACACAGTGACGCCACACAGCAGTGACCCACACAGTGACGCCACACAGCAGTGACCCACACAGTGACACCACACAGCAATAACACCACACAGCAGTGACACCACACACAGCAGTGACACCACACACAGCAGTGACACCACACACAGCAGTGACCCCACACAGCAGTGACCCCACACACAGCCAGAGTGACCCCACACAGTGACCCCCACAGTGACCTCACACAGCAACCCCAGTGACCCCCACAGTGACGTCACAGTGATCCCACAATGACCTCAGTGACCCCACTGACCTCACAGTGACCCCACACAGCCAGAGTGACCCCACAGTGACGGCCACACAGTAACCCCCACACAGTGACCACTCACCAGCACGGTGATAACAAGCTTGCCGGTGTTAGCGTCTGGGCTGGTCACAACGTACTGCACACCGAAGGAAAGGTGCCCCTGGGCTTCACCTCCCATGGGGCTGCCTACCCCGCTGCCCACACTGTCGCCCACGCTGCTCTGAAAGGACAACACAAACAGCAGGTCACGTCAACAGGTCATTTCAGTACGGGCAGATTAACTAGAGGCTCACGAAGGATCGCCTCCGATCAAGGGAATTTATCCATGGGTCATACAAGGTGACATTTGGATTTGGAAGATGACCTTTGGATAGGGGAGATGACCACTGGATATGGGAGATGACCACTGGATATGGAAGATGTCCACTGGATATGGAAGATGACCACTGGATATGGAAGATGATCACGGGATATGGAAGATGACCACTGGATATGGAAGATGATCACTGGATATGGAAGTTGACCACTGGATATGGAAGACGACCACTGGATATGGAAGATGACCACTGGATATAGAAGATGACCACTGGATATGGAAGATGATCACTGGATATGGAAGTTGACCACTGGATATGGAAGACGACCACTGGATATGGAAGATGACCACTGGATATAGAAGATGATCACTGGATATAGAAGATGACCACTTGATATGGAAGAGGACCACTGGATATGGGAGATGACCACTGGATATGGGAGATGACCACTGGATATGGGAGATGACCACTGAATATGGAAGATGACCACTGGATATGGAAGATGACCACTGGATATGGAAGATGACCACTGGATATGGGAGATGACCACTGGATATGGGAGATGACCACTGAATATGGAAGATGACCACTGGATATGGAAGATGACCACTGGATATGGAAGATGACCACTGGATATGGAAGATGACCACTGGAATGGGAGATGACCACTGGATATGGGAGATGACCACTGGATATGGAAGATGACCACTGGATATGGAAGATGACCCACTGGATATGGAAGATGACCACTGGATATGGAAGATGACCACTGGATATGGAAGATGACCACTGGATATGGAAGATGACCACTGGATATGGAAGATGACCACTGGATATGGAAGATGACCACTGGGTATGGAAGATGACCACTGGATATGGAAGATGACCACTGGATATGGAAGATGACCACTGGATATGGAGATGACCACTGGATATGGAAGATGACCACTGGATATGGAAGATGGGCCACTGGATATGGAAGATGACCACTGGATATGGAAGATGACCACTGGATATGGAAGATGACCACTGGATATGGGAGATGACCACTGGATATGGAAGATGACCACTGGATATGGAAGATGACCACTGGATATGGAAGATGACCACTGGATATGGAAGATGACCACTGGATATGGGAGATGACCACTGAATATGGAAGATGACCACTGGATATGGAAGATGACCAATGGATATGGAAGATGACCACTGGATATAGAAGATGATCACTGGATATGGAAGATGACCACTGGATATGGAAGATGACCACTGGATATGGAAGATGACCACTGGATATGGAAGATGACCACTGGATATGGAAGATGACCACTGGATATGGAAGATGACCACTGGATATGGGAGATGACCACTGGATATGGAAGATGACCACTGGATATGGAAGATGACCACTGGATATGAAGATGACCACTGGATATGGAAGATGACCACTGGATATGGGAGATGACCACTGAATATGGAAGATGACCACTGGATATGGAAGATGACCACTGGATATGGAAGATGACCACTGGATATGGGAGATGACCACTGGATATGGGAGATGACCACTGAATATGGAAGATGACCACTGGATATGGAAGATGACCACTGGATATGGAAGATGACCACTGGATATGGAAGATGACCACTGGATATGGGAGATGACCACTGGATATGGAAGATGACCACTGGATATGGAAGATGACCACTGAATATGGAAGATGACCACTGGATATGGAAGATGACCACTGGATATGGAAGATGACCACTAGATATGGAAGATGACCACTGGATATGGAAGATGACCACTGGATATGGAAGATGACCACTGGATATGGAAGATGACCACTGGATATGGAAGATGACCACTGGATATGGAAGAGGGGTAGACGGTAGCGCAAGAGCATCTAGATACATGCAAGACCTAGGCACTTGGGCCCCAGAAGGGTTAAATGAAGTACATCTTAATTTATATCTGTCACTGCCTCATCTCCAGCAAGCAAATTTTTGATATTTGTCCGGGGAACGTCGAAATCTGCCTGGTTTCAGACCAGGCCCCGGGGGCGTTGACCCCTGAAACCCCCGAAACCCTCTCCAGGTATCACTGGGAATTTACGTTACTCACCCTGCAGGAGTTGGTGGGGGAGGTTCTGCCTGAGTACTCTGACATGGAGGAGTAGGTGGAGTCTCTCTTGGAGGACAGGGCCCCCAGTAGGGAGTTTGTCTCCGAGGTACCATGAACAGGACTGATGTACGTGTACTTTGTGTGCGTGGGCGTCTGCCCCGGCCTGTGTACGTGGCACAGGGAGAGAGGGGGATACGATGGGTTAGTTCTAAGTACAACTAGGTACAGTATCATTTGGTTAGTTCTAAGTACAAGGAACTAGGTAAGAGCATTTGGCTAATTCTTATTAAGTACAGTACCATGTACAGTATCAATTGGTTAGTTCTAAGTACAAGTAACTAGGTAGATCATTCGATTAGTTATAAGCACTTGGCAAGACAACAAAACTGTTAGTGTCGAATCATTAAAACGAAGTAAAAAAAAAATATATACCTTCAATACCAGAACATCAGTAAGTCAAGATCAATATAAAATGCTTCTGTAATTTATTAAAAAAACTGACAAGGCTGTATTAATAAAACTTAAATAAAATTTTTACAGGATACAAGACAAGCCACAGGGGATGGAAATCTTCAGATCAAGTACTTTCACATGTGTCCGTGCGTCATCAGGAGCTATGCAATGCTACAAGAGTAGCAAAAGAATTCTGTGGCTTATCTTGCATTAACATAACTTTTTTTCAATTGTATTGCATATATATATATATATATATATATATATATATATATATATATATTATATATATATATATATATATATATATATATATATATATAATGTACTCGCCTAATTGTTGTTGCAGGAGTCGAGACTCAGCTCCTGGCCTCACCTCTTCACTGACCGCTAGGTCCTCCCTCTCCCTGCTCCATGAGCTTTATCATACCTCGTCTTAAAACTATGTATGCGTGTATGTGTACGTGTGTGTGTGTGTGTGTGTGTGTGTGTGTGTGTGTGTGTGTGTGTGTGTGTGTGTGTTGTGTGTGTGTACAGGCTTAAAAACTAGGTATGATAGGGCCAACATGGTTAGGATGGATTCCAGTTAAAGGGCCGGGACAGTAGCCGTGACTCGACCCCTCCCTCAGCTACAGAGTAAAGACAGAAGAGTGTGTAAGCTTGAGTGGTGACTGGAACTCAAATCAGTGTTGGAACATCAACCAGAGGTAATTTGGTCCATGGCAAAAGTGGAGCTGAAGTGGTCGTCAAAAAAGTGACTCCATGAATAGAAATAATTGGCAATGATTATATTTAGAGATGAAGAGGGGGAGAGAGAGATGGAGGGAAGTATGGAGGGAGGGAAGTATGGAGGGAGGGAGGGAATTATGGAGGGAGGGAGGTTTTAGATGGGAGGGAAGTATTAAGTGGGAGGAAAGGAATGAGGCAGGAGGGAGAAAAGGAAGGGTAAAAATGGGGTAAAAGTGGGGATAGGGAAGTGGAGACTAGTAACAAGAGACCTGAAGAGGAAGACCTCTGATTTCATGGTGTTAGTTAAGAGAAAAGACTAAAGACGGAGTACAGTCTGGGAAGACTAAAACTGAGTACAGTCTAGTAAGACCAAACACTGAGTACAGTTTGGCAAGACCAGAGACGGAGTACAATCTGAGAAGAGGTGACAGTTATTACCATGCAAGAAAATGGCCGAGAGTGCGAATCACACTGAGTACAGTTGTCAGAGCTACACACCTGTCGTGGAACTCTGAGGGCTGTGAATAAAAGCTACAAAAAAGTGAAATTTAACACCCGAAGGAGTTGGGGAGACATAATTACGACATACTCGATATTTAGAGTCTTCAACAGAGTCCCTTCACTAACACACAGATGCCAGGAGCTATATTTCAACTCCACAAAAAACCTGGTACAAATAAATCACAGCAGGCCCAGGAGCTGCGACCCAACCTTTAATAAGAGAGGTCTGGAAATTCCCGAAATTCTGGGAAAATGAGCTTATGGCATGACAAATATAATTACACTTGTATGAAGCTATAAAGAACATCACAGCCGACCAGAGATTATATCAGCACTCTTGTGAGAGAGAGAGAGAGAGAGAGAGAGAGGGGGATACGAGTATATAATAAGGTAAAGGCGGGAGCATCAAAAATATTTGAGACCGATATTCAAATATTATGAACGACAGTGAGTGAATGAGAGTATACTTACCTACTTGTAGGTGGAGGGGAGGGGAGGGGAGAGGTGGGGAGGGGAGGGGTGGGGAGGGGAGGGGAGAGGGGTCAAATCTCGGCTTCGAGCTCTGTTTCTCACCTACCACGGCCACACACACACACACACACACACACACACACACACACACACACACACACACACACACACACACACTATTCCTCCAAGCATACCTACCCCTAAAACTGTGTATGGACTTATTTGCTTCGCTTTGCTAACGTTTCTCCCGTGCGGTGAGTGTTTTGATGTGGGTGGGTACAAGGGCGTGAGACTCACTCCATGGGAGTACTCACGTCAGGGCGAGGTCTGGAGTGGGGTCAGAGGGACTCTTGGCGTACGTTGTCAGGCGTAGAGTGGGCGCCTCCCCGGCGTATATACTCTGACGCTCCTTCTCGCGCCGCCGCCGCTCCTCGTCTGTCACGGAGTACATAGGAGTACATAAAAGTATATGAGAGTACATGGGAGTACATGAAAGCATGAGAGTGCATGGGAGTACATGAAAGTATACGAGTACATGGGAGTACATGAAAATATATAACAGTACATGAAAGTATATGAGAGTACATAGGGGTACATAAGAGTACATGGGAGAACATGGGTGAAAAATATACCTGGAAATACCACAGGAACACAGGAAGAGAGAGAGAGAGAGAGAGAGAGAGAGAGAGGAGAAGAGAGAGGAGAGAGAGAGAGAGAGAGAGAGAGAGAGAGAGAGAGAGAGAGAGAGAGAGAACTAACCAAGGATTTACACCCGTGGAACCCAGGACACACGAAGATAAGTGCAATGTGTAAATATCAGTGTTGAACAATGTAAACCCCATATTGAACTACCCCCCACATCCTAAACTCACCATCAAGAAATATAGTATTAAGCCAGCAACCCCTGGCCACCACACACACCACCAGCACCAGCGTCAGCGCCACCACCACCGCACCAGCGACCACCACACCGAGACGACCCCAGGCCGTCAGTGTGTACATCTGTCCAAATGAAGAAATCACTATTAAAAACAATGGGATAAGGTGTTAGAACACGTGTATAAGAGCCTACAACACGTGTAAGAGCCCTTGGGGCACGTATAAGGTGTAAGAGACCATAGGACACGTGTAAGAAGCCATATCACACGTGTAAGAGGCCATAGAACACGTAAGATTCCACAGGACACGTGTAAGGAGCACAGGACACACATGGAGCATAAAATACGTAGAGAAAATAAGACGTAAATAACACACACACACAACACTTCAATGCCCTTAGATCAAAATATTTCAGAAACACAGGTTTATTCCGTAAACACGTGTCTTCACCCACTGGATACGTAGTCGGGTGAGGACCGGTGTAGCGTAGAGCTCAGGTCCCATGTAGGGAGCAACAGACGCCTAAACAAGCGAAGCAACCTGAATGTAAGACTTAGCGACGATAACTAGTACTGTTAGGTGAAAATACACATGCAAGTAATTTTATATTTTATTGCATAATGTTGATAGAATTACACCGTCGGTAATTCTGCCGACATTATTATACCTTGAGTACTTTTACCCGAGATCGAATCTTATTCGGGTCGAGCCAGTTCCGAGATACACACACCGAGATGTGTATATATCTTAGGGTATATACACCGAGAGGTGTGTATATCTCAGGGTATATACACCGAGAGGTGTATTTATCTTGGGGTATATACACCGAGAGGTGTGTATATCTTGGGGTATATACACCGAGAGGTGTGTATATCTTAGGGTATATACACCAAGGTGTGTGTGTATCTTAGGATATAAACCATACCACGGGTGGGATTTGAACCCGCGGTCAGAGAGTCTCAGAACTCCAGTTGTTTGCAATCGTGTCATTACAATTTCGTGAGTCAGTTATCTTAGCATATATTTATACCGTACACTGATTAATAACTTATTGGTATAGTGTTCGTAATGTACGTATATTGGTTATACCGCCTAGCTAGTAGAAAGTAACTAGCGATGTCTTGTTACTGAGTTATCGTCGGAAGCCGCGACTACGGCGACGATAGCCAAGACGGTCATCATGGCGACGATAATAATAATGAGGTTGACGACAACTAAATCACGGAAATTTTAACTTCACAGTCGACTAAAAATATACAAGACATATTGACGATTTTTTTCTGAAGACAGACACCCACTCTTGGCTCCTGAGATTATAAGCATAACTAAGCGCTAAACCCAACAGGGTCAGAAAATTCTGCTTGGGTCCTGAGAGAGGGAGCAGAGATAGTGTGCGGATAACTAGCCCAAAAAAAAAAAGTCACTGGAGACGTACTGAGCTGCTAGAAAACAGCAAATACCGTCAGTTAAAATATAAAGCGATGGGGTATCGAACCCCGCCATCGCTGACGAGAGCCGCGAGTATGACCAGCCAACCACGACGAGACGCGAATGTCATCCTAGTACTGCAACAAAGGGGCAGGATGGCATCTTTAATGTCAACGCTAAAGTAATGAACACAGTAAGAGGTTGGAACACTAAAACTAGATTCTAAGTCCTCTCGCGCGAACCTTCTGGAGTTCTACAACTGTGAGCAACAGAGACGAAAGAAGAGGGATGGGCGGAGTGAATATTTATAAGCCAAAATAAACAGTGATGATCTGGATGGGCGAGCCTGACTAATGGTATCCCACAAGGATCCCTATTGGGACCGCTATTATCTGATATACGTGTACAGTATGCTTGACAAACTAGGCCTGTGTATATGTCTCCGGATGATGGTAAGTTAATGAGGATAAAAAGGGTCGGGACGGTTGATGTCAGGGCGACTAAGACTTTCCAGTCTAAAGATTTGAAAACTTTTCATTCTGTTGTTATAAAAAGATTATTTTTAATGTAAGTATGTAAGCAAAATTGTAGGTAGCTAAGATGTACTATGGTAGGTGAAAATAACCTAATTCCTATCTGAAGGAAAATAAAATATAAATGTTTTGGCCTAGGATATGCAGACAAGACACACAGGCAGAGATTGACAGGGCAGGTGTTATGATAGTCTTCCAGACGGCAATATGGTCGAGGCTACTGAAGACTCATCACCGGAGAGGCAGAGCAAGTTTCCAGAGTGAAGCAAAGTAAAGTGAGTCAGGCACACTAAAAAAGTCGGGAGGTCTTGAAATACTCATGATGAATTGTTACCCCGGATTACCCATGACGAAGAAGGTACACAAGACAGGTAGCCTTATGGTGCACACCGAACAACACTGTCACAGGAACTAGACGATGAACACTACAGTAACAGCGCCTACAGTAACAGCACCTACAGTAACAGCGCCTACAGTAACAGCGCCTATAGTAACAGCACCTACAGTAACAGCGCCTACAGTAACAGCACCTACAGTAACAGCGCCTACAGTAACAGCGCCTATAGTAACAGCACCTACAGTAACAGCGCCTACAGTAACAGCGCCTACAGTAACAGCGCCTACAGTAACAGCGCCTATAGTAACAGCACCTACAGTAACAGCGCCTACAGTAACAGCGCCTACAGTAACAGCACCTACAGTAACAGCGCCTACAGTAACAGCGCCTATAGTAACAGCACCTACAGTAACAGCGCCTACAGTAACAGCGCCTATAGTAAACAGCACCTACAGTAACAGCGCCTACAGTAACAGCGCCTATAGTAACAGCACCTACAGTAACAGCGCCTACAGTAACAGCGCCTATAGTAACAGCACCTACAGTAACAGAGCCTCCAGTAACAGCGCCTATAGTAACAGCACCTACAGTAACAGCGCCAATAGTAACAGCACCTACAGTAACAGCGCCTACAGTAACAGCACCTACAGTAACAGCACCTACAGTAACAGCGCCTATAGTAACAGCACCTACAGTAACAGCGCCTACAGTAACAGCACCTACAGTAACAGCACCTACAGTAACAGCGCCTACAGTAACAGCGCCTACAGTAACAGCACCTACAGTAACAGCGCCTATAGTAACAGCACCTACAGTAACAGCACCTACAGTAACAGCGCCTACAGTAACAGCGCCTACAGTAACAGCGCCTACAGTAACAGCACCTACAGTAACAGCACCTACAGTAACAGCACCTACAGTAACAACGCCTACAGTAACAGCGCCTACAATAACAGCGCTTACAGTAGCAGCGCCTACAGTAACACCTTAATGTCACCTGTCCCTGTACAAACATTGTAACATGATAAAATAAGGAATATTTAATCTTTTACTTATACCAGCTTTCCCTAACTCCCTTCCTCTCACGATTTTGACGGCCTAAACCAAATTTGTGAGCTAGGGGAGAATGAATAACTAGATTACCAAGAAGACTTTCCCCAAAACACCATGTAATCTACTAAGATAGTAATGTTCACGTAAAACAGGGAAAAGAACGAAAAATCGCCAGGTTACCAGACGATCCACCCCAGTGAGTTATGAACCTGGTTCATAGATGGCGCTAACACACATGCTCTTCCCAGAGTAGAGGGAAGTGATAAAGTTCTGAGCTTCAATCCCAACAAGTGTAAAATTATGGAAATCAGGGAGGGTAAAAAAGAGAGAGGGGCGAGTTTACTCCTGATTACATGTCCCTAGCCTGGGTACCTGCCAATCCTACTAACAAATGGATGTTTCAACTCCCTTAATCTTTACCTCATCACCTACACTTTTTCCCCACGCCTTTTTTTACCTGTTCAGGTAAACTTTGATGAACCAGATATCTGGGTTACTCTGAAAAAGCCACATTTTACATATCCGATTGCACCTTTTGATTAAATGATATTCGATTGGTCAGAAAGCAGGGTCTTGGTGCATTCTTAAACAGATAAACCGCTCAGGTCTAAGTCAGATAGTGACTCACTCAGTGGCTCCTCGGAAGTAATGGTTTCACTACGGCTGGGTCAGGAAGGACTGCTAACGGGTCATCAAAGATTTTTGTGGCTCATGTGACCTGGACGCCAGCCGTCCCAGCTGACCATGGCGCATACTGCCTCTTAATGCAATACTGGTGTAACCAGTGACTACAGGCGAAGCTGCAGGGTGTGTTGATGGCGTGTTCCCTGCGGGTGCGCGGCGAAAGTGACCCTTCTCCTCTCTCTAAAACTCCAACAAAACACTGCTGTAATGGGGTCACCCATGACTCAGCTTTGTTCCGAGCCCCCGGGAAGACTAGGTCAGACCACATCCTCTTACGACCCTGTCTCCATTTCCTGCTCCAATGTCTTTCAGCAGATCCTCAATTACATTTGATTCATTCTGTCTCCTCAATTCCCATGATTGTTCTTTCCAGTTTTCTCTTCCACGATTTCCCACATTATTCCTCCAATCTGAGACTCATGAAAGAGTTCTTTACTCTTTCTGTGTGTGTGTGTGTGTGTGTGTGTGTGTGTGGTGTGTGTGTGTGTGTGTGTGTGTGTGTGTGTGTGTGTGTCTCTCCCTGATGATCCATAACGTGCACCAAGATGTCTTTGTTTCACTATCAAGAAAGGCATTGTGATCTCACGGTCCAGCAAGGTGTCTTGTTCTTATGGTGCAGATAATATATTTATCTCACGGTCTAGCAAGGTGTCTTGTTCTTATGGTGCAGATAATATATTTATCTCACGGTCCAGCAAGGTGTCTTGTTCTTATGGTGCAGATAATATATTTATCTCACGGTCCAGCAAGGTGTCTTGTTCTTATGGTGCAGATAATATATTTATCTCACGGTCCAGCAAGGTGTCTTGTCTTATGGTGCAGATAATATATTTATCTCACGGTCCAGCAAGGTGTCTTGTTCTTATGGTGCAGATAATATATTTATCTCACGGTCCAGCAAGGTGTCTTGTTCTTATGGTGCAGATAATATATTTATCTCACGGTCCAGCAAGGTGTCTTGTTCTTATGGTGCAGATAATATATTTATCTCACGGTCCAGCAAGGTGTCTTGTTCTTATGGTGCAGATAATATATTTATCTCACGGTCCAGCAAGGTGTCTTGTTCTTATGGTGCAGATAATATATTT